ATATATTTATAGACATACTGGATATACACAGTATGTATAAATGCACACTATTTCCAGATACACAGTTGAAAGCGTACGTTTATGGTTCCTGTATAAAAAGACATAACCACTCTTTTCTCACTGTCTGACATGAAATCAAATTAAACCTGTCCTGTTTTACATCAGTTAGGATTCCCAAAATGTTAGTTTTTAAATTCCCTAACAGTGAAAGAGAGAATTTTTTTAGATCTTTTTTTTTAAAGTTACTTTTTCTGTCACAGGTTTTTAACCGTGTTCTAAACTTTAAAAAGAGGTTTAGGCCTGCCTCCATAATCCCGTCAATCAAAATCCCTTTAAACGGTATATCTTGGGCCAATTGGCCGTTCCAAAACCATGACTTTGTCATCCTTTAGTCCTGTAACAAGTTTGGCAGCATGCTTAGGGTCACTGTCCACTTGGAAGACTCGTTTGTATCCTAATTTTAACCTCCAGGCTCACGTCTTGAGACGTTGCTTCAATGTTGATTTTAGTTTTATCAGAACACAGGACGTGTCACATTAAAGTCTTTGTCTCTCTGCATTAACTATAATCTGTCTGTTCTGTGTTGCTTTGGGAGAAACTCTCTGAGTGTCCTCCCTGAGTGTCCTCTCTGAATGTCCTCTCTGAGTGTCCTCTCTGAGTGTCCTCCCCGAGTGTCCTCTGAGTGTCCTCCCTGAGTATCCTCTCTGAATGTCCTCTCTGAGTGTCCTCCCTGAATGTCCTCTCTGAGTGTCCTCTGAGTGTCCTTCCTGAGTGTCCTCTCTGAATGTCCTCTCTGAGTGTCCTCTCTGAGTGTCCTCTCAGTCCAGTATGGTCCAGGACTTGTTTCACTGTGACTGGTCCACTCACTTTCCACGAGCGTCTTTATATCATGTCTGTTATGTCAAAAGACAATAACAAAAATAAGACTTGTTTGTTGTCTGAACTCATATTATTTTACTTTTGTCCCAGAGCTGGACTCTCTGGAGGTCCCCCCTCTGACTCCCACCAGTAAGGAGGTCCTCAGCCAGGCAATGAAAGCCAGTTTTGCTGGCTTCACTCAGGAAATAATCAAGCATCGCTTACCTCCTGGTACGAGACCTGAGCTCATTTCAGTTCCCGGTGGACTGGATGAATCCATGTGGATGTATAAATACTGACCTGGACGTTTTGATTCATGCACGTTTAGATCCTACCTCGTGGTCAGAGTGGGAGGTGAACCACTGGCTGGACTGGTGCCAGGCCGAATTTGGTCTCCAGTGTCTGGGCTCAGAGCTGAGGGGTCTGCAAGGCTGTGAGCTGTGTTGTCTGGATAAGGAGGCCTTCCTGGACCTGATGTCAGATTGCACTGCAGGGGAGATCCTGTGGGAGCACCTGGAGACCATGAGAAGAGGTACACAACAGTTTCAACCAAAATGTTAACCACCTTATTCTAAGTGTTTGAAAGCAAGTGGTCAACGAAACACGTCACGTAAAACTGCATTCTAAACCATGCATATTATACGGTTGTTGACCTCTGCCCTTATCGTACCCACCTTTGCCTGCTTTGCACCCATGGCAGCGTTTTATGATTTAATCTGCCAGAATATACTTTAGAAATGAAGATAAGCAGATTTGAAACAGTTCTTTGAAAAAATAATATTACTATCAAATTGGCAGCACGGTGGATCAGTTGGTAGAGCTGCCACCTCCCAGCAAGAAAGTCCCTTGATCAAATCCCGTCCAGCGACCTTTCTGGGTGGAGTTTGCATGTTCTCTCCGTGCATGCATTTGTTTTCTCCGGGTACTCCGGTTTCCTCCCACAGACCAAAAACATGCATGTTAGGCTGATTGCTCACTCTAAATTGTCCCTAGGTGTGAGTGAATTCATTCAACCTTTATTTATACAGGTTGAATGAATTCACTCCCTCACTCCCACCTGTGGTTGTTTGTCTCGTTTGTTTCTATGTGTCCCTGTGATGGACTTGCAACCTGTCCAGGGTGTCCCCCACATCTCACACAGTGATAGATGTATATGGACACCAGCGACCCCCGTGATCCGAAAAGGAAGAAGCGGGTAAAGATAATGGATGGATGGATGGATGGATGGATGGATGGCTGAATGGATGGATAATGGATGGATGTTATCAAAGTAATTTCTAGAAGTAAACATTTGCCTCAGATGTTTTTTCAACCTTTATTATCCAGATTAGTCTCACTGAGTCACAAGGACTCATTTTCAAGAGAGACAGACAACATACAACAATAAAATGCAATTAAAATATAAAATAAAAAGTAGTGATATAAAACAATAAATCAAGGTGCCATATCAAACAAGGAAAATACTAAAAACAAGAACATATTTGCTTTGATGTTTCTATTGACATTATCAAATGTTTGAAACCCCTTAAATAAATCAAGGTGGACAGCTTCAGTTCCTGTTGCAAGGTGTTCCAGGTTACAGGAGTTGAGTAGGAAAAGGCCTTTTTGCCAAGTTCAGTCTGCACTGAGGGAACGCTGCAGGTAATGATGGACTGAGAGTGCATGTTGTAACTGCACAGACGAGGTGACATGTGGGAGGACATATAAGAAGGTAGCAGACCAAGGAGGGATTTATAGATGAAGATGTAAAGAAGATGAAGATGTTTTCTTTCAGGAAAGAGCTCCCTGGACAAATCATTGACTGCGTTGGTGCTCTGGAGACAGGTTGGGGACACCTTTGATACACTTCAGATTGATTTAAGGCATCCACAACAACTCTGACGACAGTGAGTTAAACTTTGTTGCATATTTTGTTCAAACATGTTCAATAAGTGATCAGACTCCACAAATCCATAGCTTTCTTTTTGTGTTTCCATGAATGTCGTGAGACATTCTGGAGACGTCCTGAAGACTCCCTCCTGGTTGCTTTTATCCAGCTGGTTGCAGTCCAGTCACATACCATCTCTGCCTTTTTTATAAAACATGTTTGTTACCATGGTGTAGATTCTCAGTCATCTAGGACTGGAGGCAGCTGTGGCTGAGTGGTTACAGCAGTCGTCCTCCAATGGGAGAGTTGGGGGTTCTATTCCACCAGCAGTCACATGTTGAAGTGTCCCTGGGCCCCATTGAGCCCCTCATTGCCTCTGATGTGTGTCCCATCAGTGTATGAATGTGATAAAGCTCTGATTATTCTTTGTAGAGATCTAGTAGAGCACTGTTGTCAGGATTTTCAGGCTGAGCTGAACAGGAACGAACCCATGTGCAGGCAGGACGCACAGGCCAGGACGTAAAATAAGAAAACACTTTAATAATAACAAATAAACAGCTGACGAGGCAGCAAACACACTGGTTAGAGTTATACAGAAGGTTCTGATCTTCATGAGTTACCCCCATGTTAAAGCTTCCATCTATTCTCACCAACAGTCCATAAAAGGCAGCTTGTTGTCTTCAGCTACAGAATAGAGTCCAGTTGTTTTGTTTTAAGATCAGTTTTTTTAAAGAGGTACCTCTGGTGTCACTGTCAATATGACATTTTGCAAAGATTGATAATGGCTACAATTTGTAATTACCCACATGCATACCAAGTCTGACTGTTAGAGACTTCATATGACAACACCACATTCAACATTATTGTGCTGTTTGTTTGTCCTCCTCAGATTACATTGCAGACCCTTCAGACAAACTGGATAACCAGCTGCAGCATCATGTGGCTGAGAGCACCAACCTCCTCACCCTGGAGCCTGTGAGCGTACATGACGTTTATAGTTTATTGAAAACAGAAGATCCTCAGAGGAGAGTCAACGCTGCTCGTGGGGCAGCAGAAACACACAGGAATGGAGGTGAAGATTTTTTTTTAACTATCAAATGAATAACTTTTTTGTGTAACTCAAATGCTGTTTGATTCCTGATTGAAAAACAGTTTGTGATAAGGAGACAGTACGCCTCTCTCCCCAGGGCATCCATAGAGTTGTGACATGTTTTTATATATAGCTGAAACTAAAAACATATATTTAAAATTTAATTGTTTGGACTCATTCGTGGTAAATGAACAACTTTTTTTTGTATCTGAAGGCAAAGTTTAAAGAGAAAGCCTGATGGATTTGAAAGTCATGTTCAGTCAAATAGTGGTTAGTATCTTATCAGTTGTAACATCAATCATTAATCACAGAGTATGAAGGGAAGGACTGAACTCTTGGTCCAGGCTAGGTCAACAGTGTGCAAATGTTTTGCTCGCCACCGTGGAGAGAAGAGGTCCAGTCCATCTGTGCATATTGTGACCATGGTAACCTGAAAAATAGGAGAGGTACCAACTTACATGTTGGAGTGTAGCTACATCTAGGAGTAAGAAATCTCACTATCAAAATCTGGGTTGCTACGTTAAAAATCCAAGATGGCTGCCGCCATATTCCACTGCAGAGACTTGAATATGATATTGGAATTACAGGAACAGCTCTAAAATTGTTTAAATCATATTTATCTGACATATTCCAATTTGTAAATGTAAATAATAAATCTTCATCATACACCAAAGTTAGTCATGGAGTTCCTCAAGGTTCAGTGCTTGGACCAATACCTTATACATGCTTCCATTAGGAAATGTTATTAAACATCATGGGATAAATTTTCATCGTTATGCTGATGATATACAGTTATATTTGTCCATAAAACCCAATGAATCCAATCAGCTACTTAGACTACAAGCATGTCTTAAAGACATAAAAACTTGGATGACCCTACATTTTCTGCTTCGAACACAGACAAGACTAAGATTTTAGTTTTTGGACATGAACACCTTAGGAATACATTTTTCAGTCTTTCTCCCGCCTTGGATGGCATTAATCTGGCCTCCAGCTCTAACGTTAAAAATATTGGTGTTATTTTTGATCAGGACATGTCTTTTATCTGGGCAGCACGGTGGCGCAACTGGTAGAGTTGCTGCCTCTCAGCGAGCAGGTCCTTGGTTCAAACCCCGGTCCAGGGGCCTTTCTGGGTGGAGTTTGCATGTTCTCTCCGTGCAGGCGTGGGTTTCCTCCGGGTACTCCGGTTTCCTCCCACAGACCAAAAACATGCATGTTAGGCTGATTGGTAACTCTAAATTGTCCCTAGGTGTGAGTGGGAGACTGAATGTTTGTTTGTTTTGTTTGTCTCTATGTGTCCCTGTGATGGACTTGCGACCCGTCCAGGGTGTACCCCGCCCCTCGCACAGTGATTGCTGGACATGGGCACCAGCGACCCCCGTGACCCAAAATGGAATAAGCGGGTAAAGATAATAGATGGATGGATGGATGTCTTTTATCTCCCACATTCAAAATGTTATTAGAACCACCTTCTTCCACCAGCATAATATCACTGTAGGGTTTCTGGGGTCTTGTTTTACGTCATGTTTTCCTCATGTTTGCCTGTCACCCCTCAACACTTCTCCTCCCTGTGTTCCAGCACTGTCGCACCTGTGTCATATCCTAATCACCACAGGTGTCTGTCATTTCACCTTGTTAGTGTCTGTATATATTCAGCCCCTTGGATTGTCCTGTCAATGGCTTCATGTCTCTGCATCCCTCCGTGTCTCCTCTTTCAAAGTAAGTTAGCTGCCCTGTCAGCTTTTGTAAGTTCAATAATAAACATTTTACTTATTTTACTGGAGTCTCCTCATCTTCCTGCACTTGGATTCTACACATGGAAGTCAGATTATGATAATCACTAAGATTAGAAACATCTTGTTCAAAAATTATGCCAAAAAACTGGTTCATGCATTTGTCACATCTAGACTGGACTATTGCAATGGTTTATTATCTGGATGTCCAAATACTTTTAAAAAAAGTCTTCAGTTGATCCAAAATGCTGCTGCCAGAGTCTTAACCGGAGTTAGTAGGAGAGATCACATCTCTCCAGTTTTAGTTTCTCTCCATTGGCTCCATGTCAAATCCAGAATAGAATTCAAAATCTTACTTCTAACCTACAAAGCCCTCAACAACCTAGCTCCATCTTATATTACAGATCTTATTGTTCCATATTTTCCCAACAGAGCACTTCCCTCTCAGACTGCAGGTTTACTTGTGGTTCCTAGAGTTTCCAAAAGCAGAATGAAATATCTTTCAGTTATCAGGCTCCTCTCTTGTGGAACCAACTTCCAGTTTCTGTCCGTGAGGCTGACACAGTCCAGTTTTAAGACATAAGATTTTCCTTTTTAATAAATCCTTGTTTGATAAATCCACCATTTGGGAATGAATGAATAAATAAATA